AAAGAAAACATGCATTATTTTTAAGGTAAAGATAGGATGCCTCCTATCTTTAGCATAGGCTGGAGCCCCAACTTCAGGTTTAAGCATAATATACATACAACAGAATCAAAAAGTGAACAGGGAGAATTTGGCCCATGGCTTTGCATAAGCATTTTCTATTTTAATTGAGGCAGTTTTGCTTAAAATGTGATCCACTATCAACAAAGGACCATATAGATACGGTTACACTTCTGCAGATACTGTCACCTCCTGAAAATACTCCATTCTGTACACACTCGTGCATCTCTTCTGCATACAGCATCCCTCTATCTGCAGTGGGAACTCAGAATATGTCCTTCCCTCCAAATGACTGTATTCTCATCATGAATAATGTATGATATACAGATTGGGGTAATTTTTTATGCACATCAGCAAATTAATTAAGTTGACTATTCATTAAGTTAAACAGTGCTGTTAAGTAAGACAGCAGGCTTTGTTTCAGTCCTTCACTGAGAGGTAGAAAATATCCCTGGTTTTAAGTAGAAGATTTATTACATATGTGAGTAGTTTATTAAATCTTTGCTGCAGGCTCTGTAGTTTCTAAGGCCTATTTGCTATCAAAAATAAAAGTGGTCATTTTTTTTTGTCAAATAAACTGAAGCTTTTAGTTGCAATTGAATTAATTAGCTGGTGGTTCTCCAGTACTGCTTGTGTTTTAGACACTCTGTGGTCATTCTCATTCTGCTTGCAAACAGCACTGCAGCAGCAGGCAGAACCCCACAGGGATAACTGACTCCTTTGTGAAGTTTCTTAATAGAACACTTGGAAATGGTTAAAGTTTGCTTCCCATATTTAGAAAAGTTAAAGGACAGAGTCACAGCAGGTATAAACCAACATATCTTGGTTGAAGCCCCTGGAATTATAGGTATTTTGACCAGCTAAATATATGACCTCATGTCTGATAGTGAAATACAGAGCATTCATAGTAGGGTCTTGATTCAGAGAAGTGTTTTCTACTATTGCATCATCACCCTAATAGCACATTTAATGCTAAGTTGCAAAAATATTCCTTTGGATCAGGAAATATTTACCTTATTTCAGAAGAATATCCTTTTTGAATGATTTCTCGCTAATGAAATTAGATGCTCACAATCTGTCCCTAAGTTTAGACTGCAAAATTATTGCTGCTGATGGATTTTTAAATAATCTGTAGTGAATCTTGACTGACATATGGTAGCACATTTCCAAGAAATACTAAAAATAATTCTTCTGAAAATTACTTGAGGGTGCCTCTGGTCTAGGAAAGTTTAGGAACAGCAAACTGTTCTAACCCAAGTTACCAAGGAAGTAGATAAATTACAGAGACCATAAAGACCGTAAAAAGTTAAAGTGGTAGCTTTATGCAAGCAAATAATAAAAATATGGTAATTTTTGTAATAGATAATCTATCCTTATTATAAATTATGATTCAAAGAATTTAAGGCAAAAGATAATTAATATTAAGCTAAATAATATTAACATACTTATTCTCTGGATTTTTATAAAATGAAGATTAATTTTATGTAGGTCTCCATTAATTCCAAGGAAATTAAAATAAAAAACAAAAAATACCAGCAAACTCATATTGAATGTACTAAGAACAGGGAGTAATTCCCAAGCTATAATGTAAATACCCAAGTTTTTAAACTGCTTAGAGGACAAAACATTAGTGTATTAACAAAATCTTTGAACAACAGGTTTTGCTATGTCTTCTGGGCAAGCTTGAGGAAAGACCTTTTTCCTAAGACCTTAGTGATTTCTCAGCAGAGGCATCCTCTGGGACTGACTGGTTTACTATTTCCACACATTTCTGGTATATTCCATATTTCCAGCATAACACCACCACATTTAGCATTAAGGGTTTTGTAAAAGGAGTGGTGCCAATAAAATGAGGCATCTCTTTATTGATTCTTCAGCCTTGCTAGGAGAAACCAGGTCTCCCACCAGCAGGTAGCTCTGCCTGTGGACGATACCTGAAGAGGTAACGCTTCGCTAGGGTGATCTGGCTGTGCTTAAGTTAAACCTCACCAAGGAGCACTCAAAAGAGCTAGATAAGTGTTATAAATCCAATAAAAAGCTTTTCTAATTCAGAATTAGGTACATATATTTTACAATGAGAAAGCTAAGAAAAGTTAGAACTATTCAGAATCTTTTCCTTGGTAAGATTCTCAGTCACAAAGAGCATATAGTCTGTGCAGTTTCTACGTAATTGCAGAGTGAGTTACCAGTTCCTAGAAATTTACACATTTTATGAAAAAGGGAATTAAAAAGAAAAGAGGCTCCATCTTGTTCTGCCATCCCCACATAAAGCTCCCTGTGGTCTAAATTAATGTACTCTCTGACTTAAATTAATAAATGCTTATTAACATTTAGCAATTTCTGCCTTACAACTCCTTTGCAAAAATGTATTTCAAGTATTTTGACACATGCAAAAGCCCCCCCTTAATTTCAGACACAATTATGGTTATATATGTAAGCAATTATAATCATAGGAAACTCATACAGGCTCAGCAGGCAAAACTGAGCAGGGGTTGGGCCAGATGACCTCCAAAAGCCTCTTGTAACTTGAATTACTCTATGATTCCAGCTCTCAAATTCTTGTTCTGACTGCCTAAGCCCCCTCTTTTTCAAATGAGGACAATGGGTCTTTGTAGAACAGCCTGGCCCACATCTTGCAATACTGCTAGTGGTAGAAGTGAAAATATCTTGCAGAAAAAGGATGTGAAAAAAATTTACTCTCAAAAATCATATAATTTGCTAAAAGTTAAATGGATGTTCCTTTGCTTACCTATTTGATTACTAGATTTGGAAACCTCTAGCACTCCTAAAAATAAAAACAGTTTTCAATAAGCATTTGAGAGTAATCTGGGCTTTATCAAATTTGTTCTGGACATTAAAAGCACTTGCAAAATGTAGGCCATATTATCAGAAAGACTAATCTGACAGTCTTAAGGAGATGAATCAGGCTTTGTCATTATAGCTTTCATTAGAAATAATGGCACTTGCACAGCTAAAGCCCTACTCATCTGGGGAGAGATGCACTTCTGCTTTTCTGGTATGTGTACAGTTTTACACAGACAAACATTTAGGTAATTGGATGTCCATGCTGATTTACGAGGCCTTTGGAATTCTGATAAAAGCCAGAATTCAGTGGCCTTTTACCCTAGTTCCATGGACTGTGCTCCCTCTCGTCTCTTCCACACTAACCTCTCATAAAACATTGACTGCTTTTGAGATTTAGAGTGTCAAAAAGGCTCACATGCTGCTGTTCCTGGCTGTAGTCTTGAGACAAGTCTTAGAAAAAGATACATTTTTATCCTTTAATTTCATCCTTTTTCATCCTTTAATTTCACTGTGTGCAGCACACAAGGCTCTACTAACCAGTTCCTTGACTTTCAAAGCTTACTCATCCTCTTCACATCCAGAAACACGTTATCTTGGGGCAAGGACGTGCTGGCTTTCCTTGTGCTTTTCCCTGCAGAAGAAAGTTCTGCTTGGGAGAAAGGATGTTTAATGGGTTATCAGATATAAATATGGCTTTTTATACACAGTCAGGTTTTCCACTCATTCTGTGCTGGCTGAAAGCAAAGTGTCTCTTGCCTGCAAATACTGTTTAAAAAGGTTCCCTTTCCTCCAGCAGGGAACTCGACTTCACTTACATTCCTGTGAACTGCACTTAGAGCTCTGAAGCTCCCGAGAGCTGCATAAACAAATGGTCCCCCCTCAGCTTAATTATCACAGCATGCTTGTCGTTACCAGCAGAATACTATGTAGCATAATGTCAATTAAAAAAAAAAAAAAAAAACCCAAAAAAAACACCCACACACAATGAGCAGCAAGTTAAGGCCCGTGCAGCTCTGAAGCTGGGCTGGGGGTGCCAGCAGGGTGAGGATGGGGCAGGTTGGCCAAGCATCCCAAGCTCACCTCCCCAGCCCCCTGCACACTTGAGAGACTGTACAGACTGGCTGAAATGGGAGTATAATCAACTTTTCTGCTTCTGACTGACTCATACACAAACCRTACCCACTGGTTTAACATATTTACAGCATCATTAAGAGTTTTAAAATTCACTAGTGTTCAAACTTTGCCATGGAAGCAGCTCAGGAAAGAAGGGCACTGGCATATTATGCAAAAAGCCTGCTCAGAATTGCCTAGCACCATGCTAGGCATTCAGCTTTAATTACTACTGACATTCTGCAATGAAAATATCCATTGATGTCATATTCTGAATTAATTTCTATATTCTCTTTTGGAACTGGAGGCAATGATTTTAAAGAAAGCAAAACATCCATTAAACATAGTCTATACATTTCTGATTCTGAGGCTGCCCTTTTTACTGTGCTAAGCAGGTTGAATTATACTAGACCTGGTGTTATACTGCTCAGTAGCAGAAAAAAGTAACAGACGGACTATTTTTATTTTCCAGTTAGGAAAAGCAAAAATGAAAGCCACTGGCAAAAAGAAAGAAATGTGCTGAACTTTCCAAATGCACAATAAGCTGAAGTTCATCAGAGTGTAGAGCACCTGCRTGACAGTTTGTTTGAATGAATCTAATTATTGGTCTTGTCAGTAACATGTTGCATCAAATCACTCTCTCAAAGGGAAGTAATGCAACAGCACTGTGCACATACTAAATGTTATTTTGGTGAGAGTTGCATAAGCTAAGTGACAATTAGATTTGTTTCATAATAGGTCCCACCTGAGTCAGGGAGACAAAAAATAGACATGTCAAAGGTGATAAGCACTRATGTTCCTTTGAACAGACAGAACATGATCTTAACTGCACTAACACAAAATTTTGCCAAAGTGAGCTGTAACCTCAGCTGCTACGTGACCTCCTTGCTATATAAAGCAAACTATTTTTGAATAATTTTTACGCTACTACTAAACCCAGGATTTTATGTGCAATGTCAATCTCCAAAGGGGTTGYCTCTAAATTCATATATTTCAAAACGCTCTTTCCTTTAATTTCTATTTAACAGCTCCACTCAAAAGGGAGATGATGATTATGAAGATTATACCTCAAATAAGACCTGGGTTTTGACTCCCAAAGTCCACGAGAGTGATGTCACTCTTATTTTAAATGGCTTGCTGGAAGGATATGACAACAAGCTGAGACCTGACATAGGAGGTATGTGGCTTTTCTTTTTAGTCCTCTTCTAATTAGGCGGGCTGATTAAGAGTGTTCACATTGCATTATGCTACTCAGGAAGCAAAACCCATCCAAAGTAGTTACAAAAACAAAATATGACTTAGTAAAACACCAATAGCACAAAAGGCAACCCGGCTCTTTGCAGCAGCATCTATTAACACCTCTGAAAATATCCTGAGACACCTCTTGCAAACCCTCCCATTTGCTGACTCAGCCTGCCTGCAGTCACCCATCTGTGTAACAAGCTTAGACTTAACTTCAGAGGGACTGAAAAGCCTGTTCTCTTCTTCCTATAGCCAAGAGAAATTACTAGACAATGACAAACAATACATCAAGAAAGGAAGGCCAAAGCAAGGATAACATAGTCTTATTTCTGCATGGTGGGATGGACACAAACGGAGCTACAGAGAGCAGGAGGATTGTGCTGGCTGGTGCAGCRTGTGCACTGCCTGGTGCACGGCCGGAGAAGCAATGGGGAACGGGGTACAGCGGAGAAAGCGTTCCCAAATAATAACATTAGTCTCGCAATGCCAAGCTCCCAGGACTCTCCCTGCAGCCAAAGGAAGCAGGTAGACTCCAACTTGGCCTCACAAGGAATGTTGGCTGCTCTGAACCTTCCCCTCACGGGTTAGTGAAGAGCCTGGAGAGAAGAGCCTGGCTTGACCACCCTGCAAACATCCCAGGTGGGCACAGAGCAGCCAGATGATACCTCTGCAGAAGAAGATACAGCAGGAATAGCATTACGGAAAAGAGACCTCAGGGATGAGGCACTCAGAGAGCAGCAAGGCTAAGGGAGGCTGTTGCTAACACGTTTACAGAGCCTTGTGAACCAGGGAATGTTTCCACCATGAGGAATACCTGAGTATTTAACCTTCAATGTATGTTTATACTCTAAATTAGCAGAGGAATTTCCCTCATGCTCCCAATCGAAGACTTTAGAGAACAAAAACAAATTAAACATTCATAAAAAGCATCTGGAAAAAAATCTTTAGCCGAGGTGCATGGGAATAATAGAGTCACAGTAATTTCAAAATAAATGAATCTAACAGCTGTTCTTTTATTCTTGTTCTAGAGCCCTGAGCACTGCTGTGGCTTTGGGCTCATGAAATTGTTTCTTATCAACAGCCATCTCTGCAGGCAAGAGCAGTCATGTTGTATTTGGCATTACAGCGTAAAATAAGTAACGCTACACATCACAAGAGGAAAAAGTTTGCCTGCTCTGATGGTGTTTTGTCAAGTGCGTGGCTGCGACCTGACAAAAACGCAGATCCTCTCGGTCAGATATGACTCACTCGAGGGTGATGACACTGGTTTCARCATTGGTTCTCATAGCTAAGCGCATTTGTTCTGATAGCATAAATGATATAAGAACTTGTCCTAAACTGTCTCCATCTAATTTCAGCTTAGGGACATCACTGCCAATTTATGCTTACTCTATTATTATTTTTTGAGGATAAATATGTAAACGTGAGGCAAACATAGCCATACAATAGAGGTCCTTCTGCTTATATTTGACTTGCATCTAGTTCACTTTGACCTTCACTCACGCTCCTAACTCTTCTTTCTCTTGCAGTTAAACCTACAGTGATTCACACTGACATGTATGTAAATAGCATTGGGCCGGTGAATGCTATCAATATGGTAGGTAAACAATTGCCACGTTTTACTACAGCTTTAATATTCACTTTATGACAAAGCCTGCATCATTTCTGTACTTTATAAAGCACAATGTCAATAGAAGCTTTATCTGCATTATTTCAAAAGCCTTATTGTATTACTATTATTAAAGTGAGGACTATATGAACTATGAATCTATAATAAAATGCCAGCTAAACTCTGTGCTGAAAAAAAAAAGGAATAACTTAGTAGTTTTACCACGTGCTCATATTTCTATGGCTGAACCATACATGTCAGTGCCTTGCAAGAATACAACCCTTATAAAACTGAGCTTCCTGATTGCTACAAATTAAACAAAAACTTGACTAGTAATACTACAAATCATGCCATCAAGAAATAAAAAATGCTCTGATTCTCTCTTCTGTTCCTGAAATTCCTAAAGAGAAGTTGAACTGTATCTCCATATGAGATATTCTACTTTGGATTAGCAGTTCCTATGTGTAGGAAAAAAAAAAAAAAATCTCAGATTGTTCTTTTCAGGTCTAGAGTTCCCTTTACAAGCCTTTACTGGCTTGCTATTAAGGGGCAGGTTAGCAACCCTTCACCAATCTTGACAACAACAGTGAGTAGGGAAGCAGCAGTTCAAGGCCAAACTTGAGTTTTACCTGTCACAACTCCAAGAGAATAGATCATTTTCTTGTAATTTGTTCAGATATGCGGATGAGTTGTTGGAASACAGGATTGAAAAAAAGAACCTCAGTGACTCACTTGTATTTTAGGTCAACCTCTCCCTAAGAAAATAGTAAAAAAGAAAAGGTTTTAAACAATACTCTTTGATAGACAAGACCCTCAAAAATTGCCAAAGGTTGATTTTTCTTTTTTATCAGTTCTAGTATCTTCTATATTTCGTGTGTAAGTATTTTTTTTAATGAAATCAAGGAAATCTTATCAGGAGAAGTGTGAAATGCCTAGTGCTATGTTTTCATCAGTATTTCTGGTTAACACAACAGGAATATACAATTGATATATTTTTCGCCCAAACGTGGTATGACAGACGTCTGAAGTTCAACAGCACTATAAAAGTGCTCAGATTAAACAGCAACATGGTTGGGAAGATCTGGATACCAGACACATTCTTCCGAAATTCCAAGAAAGCTGATGCCCATTGGATAACAACTCCTAATAGGATGCTCCGGATCTGGAATGACGGCAGAGTGTTGTACACGCTAAGGTATTTACACGCAAGTTTGCTTCCAATTTTGCAAGGGAAAACTAAGAAAAAAAATGTGTTGATATACAAGTTGTGATTTCAGGTCAGATACTAACCCAAAGAAGAAAAAAAAATTCCTATTACTTTTGGGTACAACCTGGAAAGGGGAAATATTAGAAGGTATTACTTGCATGCAGCCTATTTAAAGTATTTGATAGACACAGTAAAAGAGTTTCTTTTCAACCCAAGGATTACATTGCCTGGCTCTCAGTCACATTCTTAGGCCAAAATGAATATAAGCATGGTTATAGCAACTCATCTTCATTTTCACATTATGCTTTATTGATTACCAGTTGTTCAGTCACTCTACTTTTATCTTTATGTTTGCTTAAATAGAGGAACTGGAAATATCTTTGAATTAAGTAGACAATGTAAGAAATAGATTATATATGTCAAAGGCTTCTATGCCAAATTCATAACAGTTTAACTAAATGAAACAAATTCCATAAAATGCATTTAATTTCTTAAACTTCTTGTGAAAATAAGGACTCTTTTTTTTTTACGTCATTTATGGTTTAATTAAAGTCTATAGATACACCCTCTTCAATTAGTATTTTCATGATTCTAGACATGTTCATCTCCAAATTACTCAATGGTGAATAGATTTTTGAGTCAGATTACTATTATAAACTACCCAAGTATTAAGTTCCATGCATGCCAACATTCAAAAGCTACACATGCAATATGTACTAATCTGAATAACATACTCCCAATGACCATAAGGAAATATGTTTGCTATGCCTGAAAAGCTTATATGCATTTTTTTCTCATATGTGATATAATATTTAGCTCTATATAAACCATAAAGAGGGTCTATTCTAGTATATAATTTAAAATAAGAACACAYAAACATAGATGTTAGATGTAGGGCCACTGAGCTTTAAACTGCCTTTTTTATTTAATTGTTTCTTGCTTTCTGCCTTTTTTATTGAATAACAAAAAAGAAAGTTTTGAAGGAAAGCATATTCATTTTCATTTAAATAAACAGATATGAAGCTTCGGTAAAGAAGCCTTTTTAATATTGCAAGAACTGCCGAATTACAAAAAGAGTTTTATTTCATAGTTATTTTACATTCATTACACACTGCATCGCCAGGAGAGATAAGAGAATGACTGGAATTGAAATCCAGTGCAAATCAAAGTCAGGCTGATAAAGAAGATGCTAGATCTGCTTTTGAAATTCTAAATTGGACTTAGCTACACTACCTCCTCTTCAGACCTCATTACTTTTCTCTTCAAACCATTCAGCCTCTCTCATTAGAAAGAGATATATCTGATAGAGGTTTAGAAACACAGTTATCTGATATTAAGGCATAGTTAGTTGTTCTAGTGAGTCTCAGCAAGCACCATAAATGATTTATCCTATATCCTGGATCAACTCAAAAATGAAATGTGATAGCTTCATTACAGTTTTTTATTAAAGGTAAAGGCAAAAACACCTTTTTAGAAAACTTAGGAATGCAATGTTCTAACAGATGTGCACATGAAATCTTCACAGAGCCTGTGAGTCTATTACTTTGGTTCCTCATATACCCAAGCATTAAGCCACAAACCTTAAATAATTTCCTAAACAAAAAAAGCAAGAATCTTATCATTTGTGAAGGACTTCTTTTCTCCTCTCAAAGCCAAATTGCTAATTCAGACTAAGGTTTTTGTTAAGGAGAAACACAAGTGAAACTTATTGGGGATGTAAGAGTTGGGACCACCTTGGCTGAAATGACCATGAGCTGGTGGAATTCAGCATCCTGAGATGAGGGAACAAAAAAAGTGGCAGGATCACAGTGCTGGACTAAAGGAGTGCAGATTTTGGCCTCTTCAGAGGTCTGTTGGGAAGAACTGCATGTGATATCCACCTGAAGAGAAGAGCTGTCTGATTTGCAAAGATCACCTCCTCCAAAGTACTGTCTGCCCTGTATAAGAAACCAAGAAAAAGTGGCAGGAGATTCATGTGGATTAACAAGAATCATGGACAACCTACTGTAGTTGACCTTGCCTTGATCAAAGGAGTTGGATCCCTGAATCTCCAGATAACCTTGCCAACAATCTCAGCATTGCTGCTATTTTGAGATTCTATGAAGACTGGCCTTCTGCTCATGAATGAAATCAAGTGTCATTTCCACAAGAGAAAACAAATAAAAAGAGCAGCAAATCTGAATCCATTCCAAATTATCTTGAGGTGAAACTGAAGGTGGTGGAATTGAGATGAGAAGAAATGGTAATCTTCTTAGAACAAAGAGATAATTCTACATTTGTGTCAGAGACAAGACTTCCATTACTTTCAGTGAAAATGAGATCCCTAAAGCAGAGGAGTTTCCCTTTGACTTCATCAGCTTGGTGACTAACGGTCACAAGAGCCCTCTGCATCCTGCGTATGCGACACAGGGAGATACCCGCATAAAACACCTACACATAAGAGACAGGAACCATAAAACTGCGCACTTGGACACCAAGGAGTGAACAAAGAACAAAATTTTTTTTTTTTTTTTTTTTTTTTTTTTTTTTTTTGGAGAATTGAGGAACATACAAGTAGTACTCTGTTCTATCCATTCCCCCCCCCACACACACACTTCTTTTACTCATCCACCTCTGCCCACCTTTCCAAAGCTAATTCTTCTCAGATTTTTTGCTACCAGTCCTTCTATCATACGGCTCATGGCAAGGCAGAAGCTAGAAACAATGAAGGCACTGAATGAAAGAAGGTAGTGCTTTAGTGGCTACATCAGATCTCATCTAATTTTGTTTCTCTAGAAGTACATGTCCCTACCTGAAAGATACCTGTATTGCCTACATGACCTGCCTTACCATATAGACTCATCTAATACACTTTGAGGAAAACCACACATTTCTAGTACATTTTTCTAACTTAGTTTAAACGTATATTTTGGAATTGAAATGAAGCRTATCCTCAGAGTGCCTTTTTCTAATAGCTATCAAGGTAGTCTAGATGACTGTCTTGGATGGAGAAGCCTATATTTGGACAGAGGACTCACATCTGTCATTTCTGAAATAGATTTTTTTTCCATGCAAAATACATCTCCATAGTACATTATGGCATGTTGTGACATAGAGATTTGTCACTGCTTGCATGAGATGACCTGCATATTCACTTACGGATTTGCTCATTATGAGTAATGCTGCCATTTCAGATGCAAAGGAACAAAGCTTTAATACATATTCCTCTACAGTCTTCAAAGCAGATAAGAGCCTTTGTAACTGAAAACAAAAAATGCTGCTCTGCCTATCAATAACCAGATGTCCTAGAATATGTTTGGAATAGCCAAAATAATAAATAYATGTTGATGTTTTTGCTCAATATATCTATTTACATATTTCATAAGSCCGTTCAATATCATTAATAATCTTGTTTTGAAAGAACAGATTGCTTGAGTTTGTTTTGTATATTCTGCTCTCTYTCCTTAGGCTGACAATCGATGCTGAATGTCAGCTGCAGCTACATAACTTCCCCATGGACGCTCATTCCTGCCCACTGGAATTTTCAAGCTGTAAGTAATATATCTGGAAATATATTCAATCACTTTCCTATCCCACACTGAGTTACTTATTATAAAYTTATATTTATACTGACAGAGTCAGCTAGGGTTACATTCTTAACCAGACATAGTCCCATTGTTTTCAATTCTATTTTTACCTTATTTTCATGCACTCAAATCATATATGCTTACAAATACAATACAAGAATGTTATATGAAAATGGCATTAAATTTTGGGCCATTTRTGATTCATTTATATATTAGCATAACAAGAAATTTTTACTTTTATTGTGATACTTTCTCCTTGCACGTGGGAGTTTCCCTGTGAGCAATACTTGGAGTCAACGATGTTTGACTTCTTGCAAACAGCTCAAGGAGGGAATTTGTAGTCCATCTGAAAACCGTTTTGGCAATATCTGAAGGCTGAGCAAAACTGCATACTATTATGTCCATAATTTTATTTGAAATATTATCTGAAGTGTTATTTTAATTTAAAATCAAATGAGATGTTATGTAATTACTAGGTAGTTGGAAATAAAACAGATCATCTCTGACTTGCAATATGCTTCTGTAGAAATAGAAAATAGTAGTTTTCCTCCCCAAAAGTACAATAAAATCCTAGCCATGACTATGAGAGCAAAGCATTCTGTATTTTGCCTTGCAATAAGATGGTTACCCAAGAGAAGAGATCATTTACCAATGGAAGCGCAGCTCGGTGGAGGTGGGAGACACCAGGTCCTGGAGGCTTTACCAGTTTTCCTTTACGGGATTAAGAAATACAACTGAGGTGGTGAAGACTACTTCAGGTAAGAGAACTCATCTGTACACTTTCAAATTATTTTAGAATCTTACTAAAGCAAAAAAAAAAAAAAATCTGATGCCTGAAACCCACTGTTGGCACTTAACTGAACATATACAGGCTGTGACATCAACATCTGTGACATGAGCCTGGCATCTCTATTTCTGAAGAATAACTCACAGGAAGAAAAATGACCTGTAGTCTACTGTCCATTCTTGGATTCTGCAAGGTTGGATTTTCAAGGAAAGAAATTTCCAGAACTGCCAAGAGAAAGCAAATACTGGCAAGGGGTGGGCAGGTTAGATCATACCGTGTAACCTGCCTCAGCAGAGATAAGCCACTGAGGAATCAGTGATAAGCAGATACTGTTTTTAAGGTCTTACCAATCCATCCTCCACTTCCCAAAAGCAGAATGTTGGCCTGGGCAGAAATGAAATTGCAAATCTCAAAGCCTTTACTACAGCAGCTCCAAGGGCATTTTGTTCCTTACGACAGGGCACATTCAGCTCGCATTAAAACAAGCAGCCTTGCAAGCCAGAGTCTCAGATGATTCTCCTGCATATTTCTATCTCCTTGGAAACAAGTAATGGAATTTAAAATGATAAATGAGGAAGGACTCRGTTTTTAATAAAAATGGCAATTAAATACTACTAACTAAGCAGGAAAATAAATTCTCCTAGACATATATATTGTTGTATTTGTTAGTGGAAAGGAAATTCAGTGGATATGAAAAGAATTGCATATTAATATTTTTGTATGTGCATGATATCTCTTGTCTTTGATTTCTTACTTTGAAAAAGAACAGTGAAATGAAAGCAATTTTTCTTTTCAGGTTCCTTTTGATTTTTACCTCAATGTTATTGTTCTGGCAAATATATTGATTTAAATTCAAAGACCTTTCTGCTTATTCTGACTTCAGAAATATCCCCATCCATTAAAAGAAATAACACAATTATTTCTAAAAGGTCAGCATTGCTGTTATATTCAAAAGGAGAGCAAGATCTCCTAGAGCTGAGGGCAGCCTGCTGTGCATTACACCCGAGTGCAAACAAAGAGGATGAGAATTAATTCAACATCCAACTTGTGAATCACTGGATATTAAGCACTGATGACATGTTTAGTCTTATGAGCAGGGTAAAAATGGACTGAAGCCTCCCAGCTGTAGCCACATTTGCCTTAYGGCACCTTCAGCCACTCCAGCAGGCAGCCGGTCGAGACAGCACTTGACCTCTCACATTTTTCCCAGAATAAAAAAAGAAAGGTGCAAGAGAGGACACGAGAGGAGCCATTGCCACTAATAACTACCATTATCTGGGACACGCTGGAATTGCCCTCAAAACAGAAATATGAACAACAGTGCATCTCACCTGAGACTGCCCCTGCAGCAGTCAGCAGTGGGGAAAAGTCCCATCCTGCTCAGGCTGAGCCCTCTCTTACTTCAGACTCAATTTGAGCTTCTTCTACGTGCTGTTTTTCTTTCTCTTTCTACTTGAACCATTCTCAAATAAATTGGTTTAGGCAGAGATAGAAAGCAATAAAATCTTAACATGCTACAAGCTTCAGATCCACTGTTCCAGCACATCTTGCATGGGTAAATCAAAAGCAGTTTCTAATAACCTAGTAATGCAAAGACAGCTCTTACGGAGAAATAAACTAAAAATAAAAGATAAAGAAGGGAAAAAAAGACTTATTCTCATTCAAAGAGAAGCATTTTTTCAGGGCCAACCACTCAAACTTGTACTATTCTCCGAGAGTACTACTATAATGTAGCGTCAGTTGTTTTAATATGATGACACACATCAGCCTTTTTAACTTGCTTAAACAAAAATAAGTAATTAGCAGTTAGCATGCACTTTAAAGCAGCAAAGAATCTCTCTAGTTATCACTAGACTCCTAAGAAGAAATGCTCCTGAAAGATGCCTAGTCTTCTTGAGCTGCTTTCAAAGATGTGCTGGGTGAAAAAAGACCTGAGGAAAAAAAAAACCCTGCTTGTCTGCTTCTTCTCTGGGGTTATGCTATCTTTGATCTTCCTTGCTCCTTCTGTTTTTATGACCACAGATAGGCAGGAAAATTTCCTTTGATTTTGATTCGTCTGTATTATCTAAATAATCAAAGGTGAAACAACAAAACAGAACTTGTAGTGAATCTCCTATAGTGAGAAAGAGCTGGAAGGGGCTAGACCGCGCTCACTGGTCAGTTAGGTGTGCGGGCAACAGCATCAAGTCCAGTATTGCTCAGCCAGTCCCATTCAYCGCCTGCATTCACTCTCCTACATGCACATATTTTTAACAGTTTTTCCAAAAGAAAAGGCTTAGGAGAAAACATTCCAGATTAGATTTATTCTCAATGAATGTACAACGTGAAGTGTTTGATATTCCCTGGCAAGGGAGTTGAGTTCTGGCATGTACCTGAAGGCAACTCYGCACACCCGCATTTACCACATTTCAGACCAAACTTGTGGCTCTACCTGCATGTCTCCCAGGGGCTAAACCCACCCAGCCCTTCACAGGGTCCCAGCTGGCCAGGCTACCACAGTAGAGAAACAGAAACCCTGTGGTTATGAACCACCGTGGTGACTATGGTCCTGTCATAGCAAAACACAAGAGATCTAGGCTGAGCTATGGGCAGGGAAGGGCAGGGATCATTCACGAATACAGTTCCTCYGAGCTCACAGACTTGCTGAACATGTGCAGCCCCTGGCAGATGTTGGACAGCACAGCTGTAAGACGTAAGAGCACCAGATGTTGCAGTTGTGTCCCTGAGCCGCTAGAAAATCCTAGTGGCAGCAGCAAAAAGCAGCTGGACTATTGCAAGCTGTCCTGTTTCCCTTATCGGAAGTGAGTCACCCTGAATCCTTATCTTGTTACGCTCCTCACTGAACTTCATTTTCTTTGATATTCACAGGCATGCAAACCAAAAGACACCATTTAGCTAATGAAATCCAGTGTCCACAATAGCTGGGACTAGGAGGAAAAGGTACTAGCAACTCCCCACTTGGAAGAACMTGGGCATTTCCTTAAAACAGCTAGATAGTCTGCACACTAGAGAAACACCCGGGCATATAGAAACACAGGCAGCACTGGCTGTGTGTGATTGTTTTTTCTTACAACCTGTGCTATACAAACACCAGTGGTTTGGTTCAAGGTATTTGGAATAAAATGCTTAAAATGCCTAGTAAGTCATAATATTATCYGAGTTACATAAAATAATCCACTTGATTTCACGCTCACATAAACTCAGATGGGTTCAAGACTTATTGCACTGTTAAAATTAAATCAATAGTCACTGCTCAAAGATATCCTATACAAGAACTACCTTTTGCTCGCAGTATAAGGTCCCATTCCCACAGTGCTACTGCAATTCTCCAGTAAAAAGTGAAAAGGAAATACTCAAACACACAATAAGAAGAGAATCGGTAGTTGGGTAGAAAAAAAGGCTGAGATATATAGTCTGCTTTCCATCAACTAAGATATAAGGAGGTAAAAAGAAAACATACACATAACTGCACCCTTTTTAAACCTTAAGAATAATAAGCACTAGTACAGACTACTTAAGTAAATGTTAGAATATTTAAAAGGCTTTAAGAAATAAATATCAGAGAGTAGAAATACAGTGATCATACCTTAGACAGAAAGAACTAATTTGTATCTCAAAATCTTTTCCATCAATTAGTTTCTATGAATTTAATAATGCTGATACACTTTAGTTCTGCAGATTACTCAGTTTTTTTGAACGTACATCAATCCTGTTACCTGATATTGAGCACTGAACTACACAAAGTAGTTTCTGAAAGTGTGATTACTTGGGAGAGACAGACCTTTTGTTACTCACAGCTCATTTCTGTGGCTGGAAAGTTCCTTTTAGCCTGGACTTTATCTAGCCCTTATTCACAGAGTTCATGCTGAATTTTTAATTAGGTATAGGCATTATAAAAACAATCAAGAAACAACAGATGAACAGGTTGCCAGTATCCTTGAGACGGGTGAACTTGCAGTGCTTGCAAATTCCTCCTTCGGTTTCTTACTGTCCTGTGTTTTACAGAGCTAATGGGAACTGTGCAGTAGGGACTGTGCACCAGAACTGATAAACAGCATCAATTTGGCAATGAAATGCTTATCTCATTACACAKCACTTAAGCCACATCAATAGATATGTGGACAGTTTCCACTTATCAGGAAAACATAGTCCAGGTTATTATTTTATGGAAAAAGGCATATTTCCAGATTTGATACTTCATCTTAATGCTCTGGAGTGCACTATTGCCACTTCATTACAATCCCCTTGACAACTAGGAGTCTTTTCCCTTTGGTCACTTAGTCAAATATGGCATGGCAGGTACACAGAATATTTAAACTTCTAAACATATTGGAAAATAGCCCTGGCATTAAATATAGCCATAATGCTGTGCCTAGAAAGCCCTGGCAGGCCCATAAACAGCTCCAGTTTTCCCTACTGACTGCTCATTGCATATAGTATAGGCAGGGAGGTCCCTCTGAGCATGGACAAACATTCCCTGCCTGAGGATTCTGAGCCAGCATAAGTTACTAATACCTGTGGTTTTCATTTGGCAGCATTTAAGCATCTTTGTCCTCACTTTGCAGAGGAGCAAACGATGACATCAGCTRTAAATCAGCAGAGACTCCAGCCTACTGCGGCTGTCTTGTGCATCTGTACTGTTCTCTTGATGGCTTAGGAGGGTATTTGTCTCCAAATCCTAATTGTTTAAACAGCTACATTTGTTATTACCTTACACATTCCAGCAAAAAGGACCCTGTCTCTCTAGGACAGCAAAACATTTAAAGCAGCAAGTGACTGAAAGATGCTTCAATACTCAGCTCRAAGCTAATATCTTTAATTTCTTTAGGATCACCTTAAGACATCTTAATARCTGTATCTTAAGATCCATAATATAAATATTCTTGTCAACTCGCAGGAAAGAAAGGACCAGTGAATATTTTTCCTTATATTCTTCATTTTTTTTTCCCTCATTCATACCTTGTCTTACTG